CACTCCAGTCTGGGTGACAGAGTGAGACTCCAACTCAAAAAACAAAAACAAAAAAAACAATCTCCCAGGCCCGAGTTCCCTCCGCCACCCTCCATGTTATGTTCTTCCCCTACGTCGTTCCTTTACCTCCTGGCTGAATCAAGTGTCATAGCAGGAATTCTTAGAGCCAGAGCCGGCCGTCCCAAGACAGGGCGGAGAGGGCGACGGGACAGAGAAAGAGAGAGAGACACAGAGAAATTGAGACGTTTGGGTAGCAGCAGCAGGCCTTTAGTGGCCGTGGACAGCAGGCCAGAGACCGGCCTTGCCTCCAGCCGCAACGCTGATGCCAGAAAAGGACAGCCTCTCCGGATCGCCGCAGTGTGCTTCCAGCGCATGCGCTGCACACGCCTCCGACCCCTCCTCCTCCCCCTCGCGTTTCTGGGAGTCTAACTCTTAGCAGTCCGCTGACCTCCTTCACTCCTTCCCCAATTGCTAGGTCCCTAGCCCACCCTGCTTCTTCCATCTTTCACCGCCCCTAGCTCACACCGGCCTCCACCATCATCCTTCCCTCGGTGCAGCCTTCTTTCGTCAATTCCTCTCCCATTCTTCTTAGCCCACCCTTACATAGCCAGCTCTCCTTACTGGCTACCTTTATTCCCTCTGTTATCCCTTAGTGGCTTACCCTCCAATTCTTGACCTTCCCTTCCCATGTGCAGCCCTACTGGACATCTTACTCCTCTCCTTCTATGTCTGATGTTGCAAATTCTAAAAAATACTCAAAAAAAAAAAAGTTGGAAAAAAAAAACAGTACTATATCCCCACAATCCTCTTCAAATCAACTCTCCGACTAGGCCCATCCAGCCCATGGTGGGCAAATGGAAGGCCTTATTGATGATGACCCACAAAAAAGACCCAAAAACAGGAAACAAAAAGGCCCCTTGCACAGAGCAAAAACGTCAAGGGTGCTCAATCAGTGTGAGGACAAGAAGCAGTATGCCATCAACATGAAAGCTCTTTCTTTCTCTTCACAATCCTAATATTGTCTAGATATTTAAAATACTATTCAGGGCCAAGCGCAGTGCCTCAACCTGTAATCCCAACACTTTGGGAGGCCAAGGCAAGAGGATTGCCTGAGCCCACAGGTTCAAGACCAGCCTGAGACCTTGTCTCTACAATAAATCACAAAAATTAACCAAGTGTGGTGGCCTGCATCTGTAGTTCCAGCTACTTGGGAGACTGAGGCAGAAGGATCGCCTAAGTCCAGAAGGTTGAGGCTACGGTGGCCATGAGCATGCCTCTGCACTCCAGTCTGGATGACAGAGTGAGACTCCGACTCAACATAAATAATTAAATATATAAAGTTGACTGAGGACTTAAAACTTCTTGCAGCCGAACTGGGTGGCTCAGCCTGTAATCCCAGCACTTTGGGAGGCTGAGGCAAGTGGATTGCCTGAACCCACGGATTCAAGGCCAGCCTGGGCAACTTGGGAGACCTTGTTTCTACAATCAATCAAAAATTAGCCGGGCGTGTCAGCATGCGCCTGTAATTCCAGCTACTTGGAAGGCTGAGGTGGAAGGATTGCTGGAGCCCAGCAGGTTGAGGCTGCGGTGGCCGGGAGCGGCCACAGCACTCCAGTCTGGGCGACAGAGTGAGACTCCAACTCAAAAAAAAAAAAAAAGAAAAGAAAAGAAATCAAGTTCAGAAGTATCAAAAACTGAGGTCCACAAATTTGTAAATCTCGAGACCCATAAACTTGTATGTCGTCATCCTCTCCACTTGTTAAGATTATTATTAGCTGGACTCGGTGGTTCAGCCTGTAATCCCGCGCCTTTGGGAGGCTGAGGTGAGTGGATTGCCTGAGCCCGCGGCTTCGAGACCCGCCTGGGCAGCGAGACTTCATCTCTACAATAAATCAAATAATCAGCCGGGCGTGGTAGCGCGCACCTGTAATTCCGGCTACTCGGAAGGCTGAGGCGGAAGGATCGCCAGAGCCCAGCAGGTCGAGGCTGCGGTGGCCGGGAGCGGCCACTGCACTCCAGTCTGGGCAACAGAGTGAGACTCCAACTCAAAAAAAAAAAAAAGATTATTATTACATCCTTAGCCCGGTGTGGTAGCGCACCTGTAGTGCCAGCTACTTGGAAGGCTGAGGCAGAAGGATCGCCTGAGCCCAGCAAGTAGACGCTGCAGTGGCCGTGAGCATGCCACTGCACTCCAGCCTGGGTGATAAAATGAGACTCCACCCCCCCGAAAAGAATATTATATTGTTAAAGGAGGGGGAGAAGAAGGGAGAACTAAGGGGGCACACAACCACCCAATGGGTACCATGTTTATTACCAGGGGGAGAGAGGGCTCACTAGAAGCCCAAACCTCACCTGCACAACATTTGCTTATGAAGCAAATTCTCACTTGTATCTCACAACTCTAAAATAATAAATAATAAAATAAATAATATCATTCAGCGAAATAATGAAAGTTTGTATTTTTACATAATATGCACAAAAGTATTATATAGCGATGTGCATATGCAGAAGATAAAAAAGAAATAAGTAGAAATTCATGAAGTTTTAGTGGTACAAAGAAACTCCTAAATTAAAATAATCATTTATTGCCGGGCTCGGTGGCTCAGCCTGTAATCCCAGCACTTTGGGAGGCCGAGGCAGGTGGATTGCTTGAGACCACGGGTTCAAGACACACACGGGCAACTTGGCGAGTTCTCCTCTCTGCAATAAATCAAAAACTAGCCGGGCAGGGTAGCTAGCGCCTGAAGTTCCGGCTACTTGGAAGGCTGAGGCGGAAGGATCACCAGAGCACAGCAGGTCGAGGCTGTGGTGGCCGGGAATGTGCCACTGCATTCCAGTCTGGGCGACAAAGTGAGACTCCAACTCAAAAAAAATTTTTTTTTTTAATTTTAAAAAATTAGCTGGGTGTGGTAGCACGCGCCTGCAGTTCGGGCTACTTGGAAGGCTGAGGCGGTAGGATTCCTGGAGCCCAGCAGGGCGAGGCTGCAGTGGCTGGGAGCGTGCCACTGTACTCCATCCAGTCTGGGCAACAGAGTGATACTCCAACTCAAAAAAAAAAAATTGTAAAACCCAAACTTATTTCAAAATTTGGAAAATATAGAGAAGGAAAATGAGGAGGAAAAAATCGTATTCAAGTATAGAACAACCCCAAAATAGCTGCTTGCTGATGTTTCAATATTAATTTCCTATACTTATTATTTTTTTTTTTTTGAGTTGGAGCCCAGCTAGAAAAAGCATTTTTAAACTCTAAATAAAATCCAGGGTGGGGAGAGATGACTATTGTGACAAGAGAAAAATTGAAGTTGTAATGAAAAATGATTTAGAAAATAATTATGTCAAACCTGGTATATGATAGAATTTATTTATTTATTTATTTATTTATACCCTCGGCCTGCTGGGCTCCATCTCTCCACCTCAGCCTTCCAAGTAGTTGGAACCACAGGTACACAACACCATGCCTGGCTAATTTTTTCATATATTATAGAGATGAGGTCTTACCAAGTTGCCCAGGCTGGTCTCGAACACCTGGACTCAGGCAATTTCTCTTGCCTCCCTCCCAAAGTGCTGGGATTACAGGTGTGAGCCATCGTGCCTGGCTGGGATATGATAGAATTTATAACAGAAAGACTGTACATGGGATACAGTTTTTGGCTCATATGGTCAAGAAATGTAACTTATTTTATGATTGAAGTCACATTCTTTTAGAATCTCCATAAGAGTAATCCTTCATTCCCATCTGAAAGACCCTTTCAGTTCAACTGAGTTCCTTTTAACTTCTGTGACCCACTTGAGCCCCTAGAAATGGATTCTGTAACTCTCTGTGTTGTCTCAACAAATAAACTCAGGCACATTCCCAGCCCCTAAATGGGTAAAAACTGTTTACATAAGGCTCATATTAATAGATACAAACAGGAAAGCACATTATATCAATAAAGACTAACAAAGCATTTTATAAAATTGAATCTTCTTTCTGATTTCAAAACAAAATTACAAAACATTTACTGGAAAATAACTTAGAAGTCCGGGTTCGGTGGCTCAGCCTGTAATCCCAGCGCTTTGAGAGGCTGAGGTGAGTGGATTGCCTGAGCCCACGGGTTTGAGACCCGCCTGGGCAACTTGGCAAGACCTCATCTTTACAATAAATCAAAAATTAGCTGGGCGTGGTAGCGAACACCTGTAGTTCCAGCTACTTGGAAGGCTGAGGCGGAAGGATCTCCGGAGCCCAGCAGGTCGAGGCTGCGGTGGTCGGGAGTGGTCACTGCACTCCAGTCTGGGTGACAGAGTGAGACGCCAACTCAAAATAAATAAATAAATAAAATAACTTAGAGCTAATGAGCTTTCTGCTTCCAAAAAAATGAAGTAGATGTACTTTTACCTATTCTTCCAGCTAAGTACAAATAAAAACTCTGAGCCGGGCTCGGTGGCTCAGCCTGTAATCCCACGCCTTTCGGAGGCTGAGGTGAGTGAATTGCCTGAGCCCGCGGGTTCGAGACCCGCCTGGGCAATTTGGTGAGACCTCATCACCACAATAAATCAAAAATTAGCTGGGCGTGGTTGCACGCGCCTGTAGTTCCAGTTGCTTGGAAGGCTGAGGCGGAAGGATCGTTGGAGCCCAGCAGATCGTGTCTGCGGTGGCCGGGAGTGGCCACTACACTCCAGTCTGTGTGACAGAGTGAGACTCCAACTCAAAACAAAAAACAAATAAAAACTCTGAACATTATATAAAAAGAACACAGGCTGGACTCGGTGGCTCAGCCTGTAATCCCAGCACTTTGGGATGCTGATACCAGTGGATTACCTAAGGGTGTGGGTTCGAGGCCCTGGGCAACTTGGCGAGACCTCATCTCTACAATAAATCAAAAATTAGCTGGGCGTGGTTGCACGCGCCTGTAGTTCTGCTAACTTGGAAGGTTGAGGCAGAAGGACCCTGGCACACTCAAGGTTGGAGTGCAGTGGAACACTCAGGGCCACCCCAGTGTTGACCTGCTGGGCTCCCAAAGTGCTGGGGTTACAGGCTGAGCCACTGAGCCAGGCCAATTTTTTTTTAAGGGTGACAAATTATGGGAAGGCAAAGGTGTTTGGTTAGTGCCATGATTTGCACAAGAATTAAGCAAGCAAAAGAGTTTATTGACTTTCCAAGAGAAAAAAAGGGGCCAGACACTAAGAGAAATGTAGGCACCCAATGCTTCAGACTGGGGGTTGACAAGATTATCTTCAGGAAGTTGAGAAAAGACAGTT